GAATATGGTAGAAAATGTGTTTGGTATAAGAACTTGGAAACCGCTTGTAGAACTAGGATTTAGGACAAGGGGAATATTATGTAATGCATAGGAAAATTATGTCATAAATTCTAATTTGGTACATATATTTGTTAGGTGTTCAAGAACTTAAAATGTGGAACTGTTTGGTGATCTTGGATTAAAAGGTTGTACCATCAAGGTAAGTGTCTGGTGGCATTACCTAATGTGACTATTAGCTAGCGTATAGAATTGTGAATTGTTGCTCACACGTGCCTTGGATTAATGTGCTGTTATATGCTATATGTATGCTGCCTATGAATGGGAGAGATGGAAAATTCTGTTATGAGAAGTAGTTGTTATGTGGCAGTTTGGTACTGAAAGTACATGAAATATATGATATTATGATGATGATCTAGTCATGCATATACACCTCATAATTCATTTGTTTCTTGTTTGTGTGAAAAGCATATCATGGCATACATGCACGAATTTCATGCTGCTCATGGACTAAGATAATTATATAAATATGCATACGTTTGAGCACGCATCATATAGGCATCCCTTCGGTACCAGGGTATGGGACACTTGGCTTCTGTCCACATAGGCCACAGTTGGAATTCACCTTTGAGGAGCCATCATGGAATATCCACTGTGTATGTTAGTATGTGCACGACGGTGCTATGAACGTACAAGGAAATTGTGTTATATACGCACTATTATGACTATTAGGAATATACATGACCATGGTGTTATATGCGCAATAAGATGATGATTAACAGCTGTACGTAATTTTAAATGTTGATGCGACTGTTTTGGAATTCTGTGCCTAGTTTAATACTGTTGCATTATTGGTTTTGTTATCACACTACTGGGATTTTTCTCACCCCTCTTGGGGCTCAATTTTTATAAAATTACAGGAGGACTAACAAGCATTTGATGATATTGTTATTTGGATATTTGCTGTTTATTGCTGATGTTTTGGGATTTTTGCTGCTGCCTGCTTGGTCTTGTAGATGTTGGCTGATTATAATAATTTGATGTAATATTTTGGGAAGATTGGACTAATGTTGACACATGTTTTAAATTGTTACTTTTATGATTTTATGGCCAACTGGTAAATTAGGAGATTCTTGTTCTGTTTGGCGAAAAATGATTTTTGAACGTTTTAAGTGCTGACTTATAAACAGATTTGGCGAGCACTTTGCGAGTTGTTGTTCTGGGGCTACAGACCTCCGAATGAAGTATAATTTATATGTATGTAAAGCTCTAGTTGAGTACTTTCAGATTATATAAACTTTACAATAAAATTCTGAAATCCTGATTTATTATGATTTTTACGAGTTGGGAGGTTTTTGGAAAAATACAATGAATCTTCGAGTACCTTGCGAGTTCTGTTTCGCGGGGCTATTCACCCCCTATTCGCTTATAATTTATATGTACGTGAAGTCCCAGATGTCTAGTTTCCTTGCGTCAAAAAATATTTTTTAAGCTGTTGAACTCGATTTTATAGAATTCCTGCAAGGCAGCAAGGTCTGTCAGGGGAATCCACGTTTCAGCAAACAATGTATATTTGTCTAAATTTTCACACGGTTTATTATTAGAACAGATTTGAACGCGAAAATTATTATGAGACTTAAAAACAAATTTTCAGATGTTACTCGTTAACATTTCGACTCTAATCCGCTTAGTAGACAACTCTCTTGGATGCATACAGGGGAGGGTGTCACGGAGATATGGATTAATTACTGATGTTTTTATAATTTGAATTAATATAGACTTGATGTATGCATTCAGTTAATTTGGGCTTGAAGCCTTCTAGTTTGTATTGACCCATTGAGGGGATTGCAGTCGGTGTGGGACTTGCAAACTGTCTGTTTAAATTATTATATTTATCAGGTTAACTGTATGTGTGGGACCATGTTCTCAGTTATCCAAAATACAGTTGTTATGTTGTCCGTGAAACTCCGTCAGGAATGGCACTTGATGTCATATCTTGATGGTCAATGGCCACTAATACTGGCTCATGCGATTAATTACTAGATGTATGTTTAGATTTACGCTTTCGCAGTATCTCACGTGAACGTTTTTAGAAATATTTTTATAAAATGTTTTATTCCTTTTCAAATAAAGTCTTCCGCTATGAATGTTAAATATCATGTATGTTAACAACCGGAGTACTACGTGGTGTTACAGTTCATAATCTAGTAATGATTACAGTCAAAATACTCGAGATCACATTCTAAATCTAATTATGACATTTAAATCTTTAAATTAAATTCTAAGTAAGCTTTACCAATTAGGTTCATTATAAAAATAAAACGAGAGAAGACTTTCAAGATAGACTTTATGTCAGTTGCACCAAAACAAGTATTTCTTGCATTGAGAATAGTCGTTACACGTGATTTTTTGGATGGACTTATACTTTTACAATGGGAGCCTCTAATCTTATCTTATCTTCTCTTATGCCATAAGTCAATACATGGTAGGTCTCATCATGTAATAATAATAATAATAATAATAATAATAATAATAATAATAATAATAATAATAATAAAAAAAAAAGTATGTTTATCGATGTATTTATGATAGGAAAAATATTTGTTCTTTTAAACGACACAACTTATGTCATTTTACTCTTTCAAAGAGGTGAGAACCATATTTTTATTTTTTTTGGTCCATTTTCTTTCCTCCTTTATCTATCTCTTTCTCTCACTTAAAATGATATAACTTTACATCCTTTAAAATGATACACACTTTTTCCATGTATGATATAAGTTACTTTCTTCGCTAGAGGGACGTTTGACAGAGAAAAAAAAATTATCGGGAAAAAATAATTTCAAGGAATTTGATGAGAACATTTTTTCTGATAAGTTACTAAAAGTATTTGGTAGGCCAAATTTTTTTCAAGAATATTTAGTTAATTTTACTGATATTGTGCGTGAATTTTTCTATCACATGAAAAAAAAAATTCACACCCCATCAATGATAATCTTCCATAACAATTTTATATAGAAAAACAAATGATGTTTTTCCTAGCCTTATTTTTGTTTCACCTCCTACCAATTATAGACAAATAATTTTTCTCACCTCATTTTTTTGTGAATTTTTTTTTTCAAAATTTCCCTTTTACAAAACACCATTTCCAAAGGAAATTTCTACAGCGGAGTTACGATAATTTATGAATAGAAAACCTGCGTATATATAATTTACATTATTGCGGAATGAAACAATATAATTTATATAAAGAAAATAAAAATGTCATTTTCCGGACACTAGGAGTCAATGTTACACCTTTAATAATTTGGATAAAAAAAAAAAAATACTTGACGAAGTTAGTCCGTACCTCCTAAACCGGGAGCCTACTTTCAAAATGAGAGAAGTGTTTGTCCTTTTAAATGACATAACTTATATCTTTTTACTCTTACAAAGAGGTGAGACCCACATCTTTATATTTTTTTTGTCAATTCTCTCTTCTGCTTTATCTATCTCTTTCTCTCACTTAAAATGACACAAATTTATATCCTTTAAAATGATACACACTTTTCTCTATCAAGATACGTGAAAGACCTGCTTTTGTTCCGGTCAAGGGATGCCTTATTTGTTACGTTGACATAATTTCTTTTATTTCAGGCTTACTGATTCAAACACATGACACGAATAAGTATATATAAATTTATATTTTATATTCAAAATTCTTAACTTATATGTTATTTAATAAAATTCATAATTATATTTATTTAAAATTATGTTGGACAACAAATATATGGATTGATTTGCTAAACAAGGTTTTGACATGGAATTAGATTTTATCATCTTCAATCAACCTCCTTATCAAATGATCAGTTTATTAGATGAGAATTTACTTATTTTTCATATAGAATTCTTGCACTATAATTCATTTTTTCGGACTTAGGTCCTCCCTAATTATTGGAAAAAATATATTATTCATAGGGTTATTATTAAAAAATAAAATTAATATCACTTTTCAAATTTCAAATTAATTCACCCCCTTATCTTCTATTCTTCAAATTTCAATCCAACTTACATTAAGTTTTCATTTTTCATTTCAATTTTATTTTTTTTAACTTTAAATATTTAATAATTTTGTGTGTGTGTGATTGGTACGAGTATTTGTGAATTAAAAATGGTACACTGCAATTTAGAATTTTGCATTTGCTCGTTGCTTAAAAAATGATATTATTTTGCTTTAATTTTATTTAAAAAAAAATATGCATGACTCGATCGGGTTAGTAAAATCAAACTAGTGAAATTGTTCTCGTCGAGTCTATTACATGACTGATCCGTTGATTAACTAAAACTGCTAAAGTCACCAGTTCACCGATTTTCAGGTCAACCCGACCGAATGAGTCTGATTTAAAACATTAAGTAGCATTAATCAATATCTATTATAATAGAATAAAATCAATCTAAGGGTGAGTAAGGACAATCCTTAAATGCATATTTAACCTTGCATAATTACAAAAGCACAGTTACAAATGCATATTTTCCAATTTTATAGTTGTTGTTCATCTACTTGGTGTGGCTGGTCTACCATATCCCATTAGTAATGATATCCTGCAATGTGTTCCTCTCGACCCTTTTGATAGTGATAACATGAGTTGAGTTGGGTTTGGCTAGAGGTGGGTTGAGGAGGAATGATACCAACATTGGGTTTCACGTTTGAGAGAGAGATTATTGAGATATTTAAAGGTAATGAGTCCACATTAATTGTTAATATTCTAGTAAAGAGCATATAAGAGAGTAATCCGCATAAATCTAACACCTTAAGATTTGAGGTTGTGACTATCTTAATATGGTTGATCTAGCTTAGTTCATCCACGATGGACCCCGACTCCTCCTACACCGAAATATATTAAAGAACTGCAGTTACTTGTCTAGTAATGAAACCCGAAAATAGCAAAGTCAGAGCCGCCATGATGGACCCCGACGCCTTTTGAACATGAATGTTATAACAACTCTACTACCAAATCTCCATGTATATCTTCAATATGCCGTAGTTAACGCAAAATGACCATTCTTAGTGCTCTGCTTGTTATTTCCAACCTACTATTTTTCTTCTTTCATATTTCCTATGCAGTTGATACCATTACCCAGTTCAAGTCACTTCCTGATGATGGCAGCACCTTGGTTTCTAAGGATGGAACCTTTGAGTTGGGGTTCTTCAATCCTGGTAGATCCTCAAACCGCTATGTTGGAATATGGTACAAAAATATCCCATATACATCTGTTGTTTGGGTTGCCAACCGTGATAACCCCATCAGTTACAACTCCAGCAGCAGGTTGATCATAAGCAAAGAGGGAAACCTTGTGCTTCTAAGCCAGAATCAGACTCTTCTTTGGTCAACATACTCTACAAAAAAGGCTTCACATCCCATTGTGCAACTCTTGGATACTGGAAATTTGGTACTTGTAGATGAGAAGGGCAACAACAATGAAACAAGTTTTTTATGGCAGAGCTTCGAGCATCCTTGTGATAAATTGTTACCAGGACAGAAGATTGGATGGGACCTAAAAACCGGTCTTGATCGGCGCCTTACTGCTTGGAAAAATTCGGATGACCCCTCTTCAGGAAACGAGACTTTATCTATTGTCAATCCTAGCAACCCGGAAATGGTAATATGGAGTGGCTCGGATATGTTGTACAGGAGTGGCCCCTGGAATGGCTTTGGTTTCAGTGAAACAGTAGGATTGAATTCTGATCCTCTTTTCGTTCACAAATTTGTGAACAATGAACATGAAGCGTATTACACATACACCCTCAAGAATAGTTCTGTGCTTTCTGTGATTGTTTTGAACCTTAATGGTCGTCAACGCCTAATATGGTCTCCGGAGCGCAGAAGTTGGATTCTTTACCAAACCTGGCCACAAGACCAATGTGATGCATATAATTTTTGTGGCGCATATAGACAATGTATGGTTGATATAAATTCAGAGTGCGAATGTTTAGAAGGATTCATGCTGAACTCATCCCAAAGCCATAATCCAGGACAGGGATGTGTGCGCAGTGAACAGTGGATCTGCGGGGTCAAAAATAGAGATGGTTTTCGAAGATTTACAGGGATCAAATTGCCAGATACTACAAATTCTTGGGTTAATGAAAGTATGACACTAGAAGATTGCAAGGCCAAATGCTTGGAAAACTGTTCCTGCACAGCTTATGCAAACACTGACGTAAGGGGTGTTGGTAGTGGTTGTTCCATCTGGTTTGGTGATCTTCTTAATTTGAGAGTTTCACAAGGTGGGCCAGATCTATATGTTCGAATGGCCGTTTCAGATATAGGTAAAAGAAATTAGTATTCTTCTAACTTTATATTATCTTATTTAGATGACCATCAACTTTATTTATTGGGAAATCACAAGTATTTTAATCTTTTATAAAGCTATGATGCAGACGCGAAACATGGGCGTTACAAAAAGACAGTCTTGGTGGTTACCATCACAGTTTCATTGGTCCTTGTGATGCTATTATCTTTCTCCTACATTTACGTTACCAAAACAAAGCATAAAGGTAAATTTCTTAGCCAGAAAGCCTTTTATATTTCACAAAGATTCAAAAATTGGTTTTCTTGAACAGTTGCAATATCTGTAAACAGAACTACTGGGCAATTTGGGTGGTTTTGCTTTAATTTTTTTTTTTTTTTTTAAAAGGAACGTTTTTATTATATATTTTGTTTTAAAAATATTTTAGAAACTGTTATTTTATTAAGAAAAGAAATATTTTATGGCATTGAACTCATTTGATAAATCAAAGAGGAAACTGAAAAACTACACTGACAGAAGAGAAAGATGAAGGCGAACAAGAAGATTTGGAGCTTCCTTTATTTAATCTTGCCACGATAGTTCACGCTACCAATAACTTCTCAACTGACAACAAGCTCGGGCAAGGTGGTTTTGGGCCAGTATACAAGGTAAATTCCCAACATGCCTATTAATAAGGCTAAAGTAAACTCATTAATCTCATTATCTGTCAAATTGTTCCTAACTATAAAACGTAGGGGACATTGCTGGACGGACAAGAAATTGCAGTCAAAAGGCTCTCAAGGAGTTCTGGACAAGGATTGAAAGAATTTAAGAATGAAGTTATATTGTGTGCCAAACTTCAGCACCGAAATCTTGTTAAGGTTCTTGGTTTTTGCATTGATGGAGAGGAGAAAATGCTACTCTATGAATACATGCCCAATAAAAGCCTCGATTCATTTCTATTTGGTAAGTTTTTTCAGCAATGCTTGATATTCAGTATAATAAAAGCATGATTTGTTTACAGGTCATTTTAGATTGATATTCAACTTAAGATGTGACATTCTTGACAGATTCAGTTCAATGTAAGCTTTTAGATTGGACTAAGCGCTTGAACATCTTGTGTTCAATTGCTCGGGGGCTTCTTTATCTTCATCAAGATTCTAGATTAAGGATCATACACAGAGATCTAAAAGCAAGTAATATTTTATTAGACAAAGATATGAATCCAAAAATTTCAGATTTTGGCATGGCCAGAATGTGTGGAGGTGATCAAATCGAAGGGAATACAAACACAATAGTTGGGACATAGTAAGTATCTTAAATAATGCTAAAGTTTTTACTATGAGTAATTGAACAGCAATTTAATTGTTGTATTCCTTTCAGCGGTTATATGGCACCTGAATATGCCAATGGTGGACTATTCTCCATAAAATCTGATGTATTCAGCTTTGGAGTATTATTGCTAGAAATTGTAAGCGGAAAGAAAAGCAGAGCACTCGCCTACTATGACCACGATTATAATCTTATTGGGCACGTGAGTATCGTGCGCGCGCACAAAAAAAAAAATGATATTCCTATAATAAAGCAGTAGATAACAATTGTGTTGAAATGTTGTAGGCATGGAGATTATGGAAGGAGGGCATTCCAGAACAATTGATTGATGCTTGTTTGGGAGATTCATGTATTTTATCTGAAGCTTTACGCTGCATTCAAATCGGTCTTTTATGTATGCAGCATCATCCTGACGATAGGCCAAACATGACATCTGTGGTTGTGATGCTGAGCAGCGAAATTGCTTTAGCTCAACCAAAGGAACCTGGTTTCTTAATTAGAAAGCCCTCAATTAAAGGAGATCATTCTCCAAGAAGACAAGTGTCTTCTTCACTCAATGAAGTAACTATCTCAGTATTAAATGCAAGATAGAGAAATGGGTCTATTTCTCCTTATGGAATTATGTAACTTGTATTTTCCATGGAGCTTAAAATATCCGCTAGTTGTGGTGAAATATGAATAGGTTTTTTTATTGTTTAAACAAATATTCAGGTCCCTTGGTGTAACACCCCATCTGTAGCTGGTCCTTAATGTAACATCCCCGTCTCGAGCCGGTTCAATTAACATACATATGATAAAACAGAAAACAGCGAAAGACTTAACTTCTGAAAATACGAGCTAACTTTTTTTTTTCTTTTTAAATTCTCATTCGTCGTAAACGAAAATCGGGCAGAGTTTCCTCTATAAATCGGACAACTGGGGATTTTCCAATCCTTCACAGAAGCATTTCCTGATAAACAGTTTATACAAATATAATCAAATGCCCATCCATGGGCGCATGCATAACTTGGCTCAGTGCCACTATATCTAACAGCATGCAATCCAACACGTAAACATATCTGAATACTACCTCATCATATAACGTGCCTGAATACCCAAATGTACATGCATCAAAGCGACAGACATGTACAAAACATATACAGGCCATATACACAATAAAGGATCAATATCATGATCCATCAAATGCGAAAATACTAAAATACATCAAACACTCCAAAAAGGTAGTAGCCTACAGCCACTCAAAATCCAATCTGTCAACTGCCTCAGCCACGTGTCGTGTCCCTGCCTAGAGAGGACTCACCGGGAATCTGGGCACCTGAAAATATGTCCCCAAAGAGGGGTGAGATTACAAATCTCAATAAGCTCCAGGTTTATAGAGAATTCTCCATACCCCTGGCTCACTCCTGCATGAAAGTCAGATACAGAGTATACAAATACAACATATAACAGATATCATAACAGAACATAGCATATATCCATATCATATCAGAGATGTGCGCCGTCATTCCCAAGGGAGGACCCCAAGCGGAAATCAACGCACGTGTTCCCGAGGGAGGACCCCAAAGCGGAACCAGACATATCAGAGGCGTACACCATCAGTCCCGAGGGAGGACCCCAAAGCGGACATCCGGGTACTATACAATCAATGGCCAGAGATTGTTACAGAAATCATATTACAGAAGTCATATCAGAGCAAAACATATCATGTTATCAAATAACTCTATATGAATGCATCTATACAAAGCATCTAAATCACAATCATACAGTCCAACCATAGTTCACTACCCATGGTGGAGCACTCAAGCAGGAAAAGACTCCTTAAACCTAGAGCTTACCTCTTGAAGCTTTACCAATACGCTTACTTGTGGAACAAGTTACTTTTATCGCTTCAAGAGATTTCTGATCCTTCTCAATCCCTAGGCACACCTAGAGAATAATTTACAATGCATCAATAAAATGATGCAATACCATAATTATTTCATAAGCATACATTTTATCGCTTATTTTCCTTTCTTTGCATTTTTGCCAATCCTATGCCAATACACAAGTCTAGACCTCTTTATAACCGTTGGTGTTCTTTAATTTAATCAACCATTCCCTTAGGAATTTTCAACATAAATCATGCTATTTTTCTTCAAAACTCATCACCTTTATACAATTTATTACAACACATTTTATTTAAAATAAAATGTACAAAATATATCCCTAAATACCCTATAGGTCGAATCCTACAAGGGGAATTTCCAAAGATCCTTCTCTTTTACAATACATTTTCGTTACTTCATTACAACTTGCAAACACCTAGGAATGCTTCCACTAAATTCCTATTTTGAGTTTAGACACCAAGTCCTTTTTACTTAGGCATTCTTACTAACTCATCCATTTTCACTCATTTCCAACACACTATACCTTCACAATACATAATATAATTTTTTCCACAATAACTCCTACTCACTCCATGATGGCCGAAACCTAGGAGGAAGATGCAATAGGGCTTTTAAATTTTTATATCACAT